AGCCCCAAGTGGCACCAGTGCGCAGGGCCTGAGAGCCCAGAGCAGCATTTCTGCTGCTCGCACAGGGCTCCCCAGCCTGCGGCACATGCCGGCACCAAGGCTCCTCCGCACACTCCACGGCCCCCTGGAGCCCTGGGCTGGGGCAGAGGGCGGCCTTGGGGCTCTGGCCACGGTGCTCACCCTGGCTCTGGGCGCAGGGGCAAGGCCTGGGAGAAGCTGTGGTGGAGCCAGGAAGAGGCACCTGGGGCTGGGGGATGTCTGGGTGAGACCTGCTCACCGCTGGCCTCCTGGAGCCCGTCCTTCCAAGGGAAGGTAGAAGGCACCTGCTGCAGGGATCCAGCCCACGGGGCAGGTGACCAGCAATGGCCTGGCCCCAAAGGGCCGAGCGCCAGCAGGCCCATGGCCATGGCAGGGCTGACAGCCTCGCCTTGGCACTCAGCCGGGGCACAGAGCCAGCGATCTGCCCTTTGAGGAAGCTCCCAGACTAATGCGCTAGGCAATGCAGTATGGGGAGGAGGTGGGCAGCCCTCAGTGGGGAAAGAACAGGATAAGAACTATTTAGAAAAGTTGGACATACACAAATCCATGGGGCCAGATCTAATGTATGTGAAGGTACTTAGCAAGTTGGCAGATGTCATTGCAGAGCCACTGGCCATTATCTTTGAAAACTCATGGCCATCAGGGGAGGTCTCAGATGATTGGAAAAAGGCAAATGTAGTGCCCATAAAAAAATAAAAAGAAAAAAGGGAAGGATAGTCCAGAGAACTACGGATTGGTCAGTCTCAGCTCATTCACCAGAAAAATCATGGAAGGGATTCTCAAGGAATCCATCTTGAAGCACTTGAAAGAGGGGAAATTGATCAGGAATAGTCAACATGGATTCACTAAGGGCAAGTCATGCCTAAGCAACCTGATTGCCTTCTATGAAGAGGTAACTGGCTCTGTGGATATGAGGAAGTCAGTGGATATAGTATACCTTGACTTTAGCAAAACTTTTGATACAGTCTCTCACAGTATTCTTGCCAGTGAATTAAAGAAGTTTTGGATTGGATGAGTAGAGTGTAAGGTGGATAGAATGCTGGCTACATTGTTGGGCTCAACAGGTAGTGACTAACAGTTTGATGTCTGATTGGCGATTGGCATCAAGTGGAATGCCCCAAGGGTCAGTTCTGGGGCCAGTTTTGTTCAACATCTTTGTTAGTGACCTGGATAAGGGGATGGATTGCCCCCTCATCAAGTTTGTAGGTGACACTAAGCTAGGGGGAGAGGTAGATATATTGGAGGATAGGGATAGGATCCAGAGTGACTTAGACAAATTGGAGGATTAGGCCAAAAGAAACCTGATGACTTAAGGCAGGCTCTCCATAATTGATGCTTCTCCCTCCCACTTACCTCAGATTCCTTGCCAACGTCTTGAATGAGCTGGACCATTTCTTACTGCTCATGTACTCCTTGGAGGAACTTTAGCCAACATCTCTCTCATCTACCCTTTAAAGGGAATAGAATTCATTGAAAAGGTAAAGGCCTGGGCTGCTCTGAGGCTGATTAAGGCTTCTCAGTATCTCTACAAAAACAAAACCCTGCCTACATTTCCAGCTTTGCTAGTTTACCTGATAAAACTTTGAGGTAAATGTTCCTAATTGTATGTGTCTGAATATGTGTCAGAATAAATATAAGCAAATAACCAAGTATGTAGGGGTAAAATTAGAAAGGTGAAGGCACGAAATGAGCTCAATTTAGCTAGAGACATAAAGGGAGCCACAAGAAAACATTTTACAAATATATTAGAAGCAAGAGGAAGACCAATGACAGGGTAGGCCCATTGCTCAATGAAGATGGGAAAACAGTAACAGAAAATGTCAAAATAACAGAGGTGCTTAATGACTTCTTTGTTCCAGTTTTCACCAAGCAGGTTGGTGGTGACTGGATGCCTACAATAGTGAATGCTGGAAAAGGGAGGTAGGTTCAGAAATTAAAATAGGAAAAGAACCACACGTTAAAAATTACTTAGAAAAGTTACATGTCTTCAAATCACCAGTGCCTGATGAAGCAAACTATTTCCTTAGGAGGGCAGTGAAGCAGTGGGATGGGTTCCCTTCCCTGAGCTATGGGGAGACACAAACCCCCAGAGCCCTTCCCTGAGCCACGGGGAGACACAAACCCCCGGGGCCCTTCCCTGAGCCACGGGGAGACACAAGCCCCCGGGGCCCTTCCCTGAGCCACGGGGAGACACAAACCCCCGGGGCCCTTCCCTGAGCCACGGGGAGACACAAACCCCCGGGGCCCTTCCCTGAGCCACGGGGAGACACAAACCCCCGGGGCCCTTCCCTGAGCCACGGGGAGACACAAACCCCCGGGGCCCTTCCCTGAGCCACGGGGAGACACAAACCCCCGGGGCCCTTCCCTGAGCCACGGGGAGACACAAACCCCCGGGGCCCTTCCCTGAGCCACGGGGAGACACAAGCCCCCGGGGCCCTTCCCTGAGCCACGGGGAGACACAAACCCCCGGGGCCCTTCCCTGAGCCACGGGGAGACACAAACCCCCGGGGCCCTTCCCTGAGCCACGGGGAGACACAAACCCCCGGGGCCCTTCCCTGAGCCACGGGGAGACACAAACCCCCGGGGCCCTTCCCTGAGCCACGGGGAGACACAAACCCCCGGGGCCCTTCCCTGAGCCACGGGGAGACACAAACCCCCGGGGCCCTTCCCTGAGCCACGGGGAGACACAAGCCCCCGGGGCCCTTCCCTGAGCCACGGGGAGACACAAACCCCCGGGGCCCTTCCCTGAGCCACGGGGAGACACAAACCCCCGGGGCCCTTCCCTGAGCCACGGGGAGACACAAACCCCCGGGGCCCTTCCCTGAGCCACGGGGAGACACAAACCCCCGGGGCCCTTCCCTGAGCCACGGGGAGACACAAACCCCCGGGGCCCTTCCCTGAGCCACGGGGAGACACAAACCCCCGGGGCCCTTCCCTGAGCCACGGGGAGACACAAGCCCCCGGGGCCCTTCCCTGAGCCACGGGGAGACACAAACCCCCGGGGCCCTTCCCTGAGCCACGGGGAGACACAAACCCCCGGGGCCCTTCCCTGAGCCACGGGGAGACACAAACCCCCGGGGCCCTTCCCTGAGCCACGGGGAGACACAAACCCCCGGGGCCCTTCCCTGAGCCACGGGGAGACACAAACCCCCGGGGCCCTTCCCTGAGCCACGGGGAGACACAAACCCCCGGGGCCCTTCCCTGAGCCACGGGGAGACACAAGCCCCCGGGGCCCTTCCCTGAGCCACGGGGAGACACAAACCCCCGGGGCCCTTCCCTGAGCCACGGGGAGACACAAACCCCCGGGGCCCTTCCCTGAGCCACGGGGAGACACAAACCCCCGGGGCCCTTCCCTGAGCCACGGGGAGACACAAACCCCCGGGGCCCTTCCCTGAGCCACGGGGAGACACAAACCCCCGGGGCCCTTCCCTGAGCCACGGGGAGACACAAACCCCCGGGGCCCTTCCCTGAGCCACGGGGAGACACAAGCCCCCGGGGCCCTTCCCTGAGCCACGGGGAGACACAAACCCCCGGGGCCCTTCCCTGAGCCACGGGGAGACACAAACCCCCGGGGCCCTTCCCTGAGCCACGGGGAGACACAAACCCCCGGGGCCCTTCCCTGAGCCACGGGGAGACACAAACCCCCGGGGCCCTTCCCTGAGCCACGGGGAGACACAAACCCCCGGGGCCCTTCCCTGAGCCACGGGGAGACACAAACCCCCGGGGCCCTTCCCTGAGCCACGGGGAGACACAAGCCCCCGGGGCCCTTCCCTGAGCCACGGGGAGACACAAACCCCCGGGGCCCTTCCCTGAGCCACGGGGAGACACAAACCCCCGGGGCCCTTCCCTGAGCCACGGGGAGACACAAACCCCCGGGGCCCTTCCCTGAGCCACGGGGAGACACAAACCCCCGGGGCCCTTCCCTGAGCCACGGGGAGACACAAACCCCCGGGGCCCTTCCCTGAGCCACGGGGAGACACAAACCCCCGGGGCCCTTCCCTGAGCCACGGGGAGACACAAGCCCCCGGGGCCCTTCCCTGAGCCACGGGGAGACACAAACCCCCGGGGCCCTTCCCTGAGCCACGGGGAGACACAAACCCCCGGGGCCCTTCCCTGAGCCACGGGGAGACACAAACCCCCGGGGCCCTTCCCTGAGCCACGGGGAGACACAAACCCCCGGGGCCCTTCCCTGAGCCACGGGGAGACACAAACCCCCGGGGCCCTTCCCTGAGCCACGGGGAGACACAAACCCCCGGGGCCCTTCCCTGAGCCACGGGGAGACACAAGCCCCCGGGGCCCTTCCCTGAGCCACGGGGAGACACAAACCCCCGGGGCCCTTCCCTGAGCCACGGGGAGACACAAACCCCCGGGGCCCTTCCCTGAGCCACGGGGAGACACAAACCCCCGGGGCCCTTCCCTGAGCCACGGGGAGACACAAACCCCCGGGGCCCTTCCCTGAGCCACGGGGAGACACAAACCCCCGGGGCCCTTCCCTGAGCCACGGGGAGACACAAACCCCCGGGGCCCTTCCCTGAGCCACGGGGAGACACAAGCCCCCGGGGCCCTTCCCTGAGCCACGGGGAGACACAAGGCAGAGCTAGAGGAGCCTGGACTATGGTTCTCTCTCAAACCTGTGTGCAGGGCAGGCTTTGCAGGCGAAAGGCAGAGCCCAGCCCGCAGCATGTGCCACTGGCCTCCCAGCGGCGCTCCTGAGTCCACAGGGCACAGCAGGCCTCCTCCCAGCCTGCATCCACACTGCGCAGAAGAGGCTTTGGTGATCAGACTGGGGCTGGAACAAAGGTTTTGGAGGGTTGAAAGCTCCAGCCCAGGACTCCAGAGTCTTCTTGGAGCTTAGTCCTGCTGGCGCCCCTGCCCTGGGGGCTCTGCTCCCCGTGTGTCCCACCCCAGCTGAGGCCCTTGGGGTGTCCTTGCCGACCTGGGAGCAGGCCCCGCCCCCGTACCTAGCACGCCCACGCGGTAGTTGAGGGTGATGACGATGACGTTGCCGTAGCTGGCCAGGATGCTGCCGTCAATCATGTTCCCTGTGCCCTCCATGTAGGAGCCACCGTGGATATAGACCATCACGGGCTTGGCCCCGCTGTCGCGGATGTCTGGAAGAAGAGGAGGTTACACACAGGGCTCTGCCAGGAAGGGTAGGCCGCGGGGTGGGTGAAAACAACACCAGCTTCCAGGACCTGCCCGGGGCAACCCTGCAGCCATGGCCCGGCCCCACCTAGGACCTGGGCATCTCACCCAGCACCAGTGGGACTCAACCCTCGTCAGGCGGTGCCATCCCCTGCCCTCCGGGACTTCTCGAGCCCCCAGACCGACCCCAGCCCCGCCTCTGTCCGCAGGCCCAGATGCCGAACCAGGGACACATTCCCTGGAGATGGGATCCTCCTGAGCTGGTTCCCCAGCAGCCTGGCAGGGCGCACCCTGAGCGCAGAGGGGCTGCGGCACCTGCCAGGCAGCCACGGGCTGGCTGAGTCCTGGGAGCTGGCATTGCTTCACACTGCAGGCACCCCTCTGCCCCGTGCCCAGACAGCATGGCCAGGAGGGGAGACAGACAGAGCAGAGGGGCACAGGGGTGGGGAGAGAGGACAGCAGGGACGAGGGTCTGGGGATGGAGTCTCAACGGAGTGGTGCCTAAGGGAGCAGGCATGGGGGAGTGCGCTAGACACTGAGGGGTTGGTGGGGAGGCCTCAGGCGCCCTCTCGTCTGTCGTGAAGGTCTCGCTGTTCCCACAACACCCCAGTATATTGGGAACGAGGCAGGCGCCCCCACGTCACAATCCTAGCACTGGGCCTCAGTGTCTCCGGCAGAGCTAGACCAGCCCTTGGCAATGCTTGGCGGGGCCGTGACCTGGGCACTGCTCTACCTGCTCATCCCCGACGCCCGCTCCGCCAGCAGCTGGGAGCCCCAGAGCTGCTCAGGCAGGCCAGGCCACGCCAGCACAGGGTTCCCAGGCCCGGGCCCTCACTGCCTGCCTTTTGCATCCCAGGCTGGCAGCAGGGCTGCATTACCCCAGGCCAGGGGGCTGGTGAGGCTCAGCCAGGTCAGCTCTTTGCAAACTAAACGATTCTTCGAAATAGATGTGAGACTCCCTTAGAAATGGTCAGAACTGAGCCCTGCGAGCTGCCAGGACTAGTTAGGGACCCCTGGCCCCTCTGGCTGGCTGCACAGATTGACCCCTACCCCGCCCGCTGCCAGGCGCTCTCCACCCAGAGCGTTCCGTGGCTCCTGTCACCCCTCCTTGACCCCTACCCCACCTGCTGCCAGGCACTCTCCACCCAGAGCGTTCCGTGGCTCCTGTCATCCCTCTGCACAGATTGACCCCTACCCCACCTGCTGCCAGGCACTCTCCACCCAGAGCGTTCCGTGGCTCCTGTCATCCCTCTGCACAGATTGACCCCTACCCCACCTGCTGCCAGGCACTCTCCACCCAGAGCGTTCCGTGGCTCCTGTCATCCCTCTGCACAGATTGACCCCTACCCTGCCCGCTGCAAGGCACTCTCCACCCAGAGCGTTCCGTGGCTCCTGTCATCCCTCTGCACAGATTGACCCCTACCCTGCCCGCTGCAAGGCACTCTCCACCCAGAGCGTTCTGTGGCTCCTGTCCCCCCTCCATGCAGATTGACCCCTACCCCGCCCATTGCCAGGTGCTCTCCACCCAGAGCGTTCCGTGGCTCCTGTCATCCCTCTGCACAGATTGACCCCTACCCTGCCCGCTGCAAGGCACTCTCCACCCAGAGCGTTCTGTGGCTCCTGTCCCCCCTCCATGCAGATTGACCCCTACCCCGCCCATTGCCAGGTGCTCTCCACCCAGAGCGTTCCGTGGCTCCTGTCATCCCTCTGCACAGATTGACCCCTACCCTGCCCGCTGCAAGGCACTCTCCACCCAGAGCGTTCTGTGGCTCCTGTCCCCCCTCCATGCAGATTGACCCCTACCCCGCCCATTGCCAGGTGCTCTCCACCCAGAGCGTTCCGTGGCTCCTGTCATCCCTCTGCACAGATTGACCCCTACCCTGCCCGCTGCAAGGCACTCTCCACCCAGAGCGTTCTGTGGCTCCTGTCCCCCCTCCATGCAGATTGACCCCTACCCCGCCCATTGCCAGGTGCTCTCCACCCAGAGCGTTCCGTGGCTCCTGTCATCCCTCTGCACAGATTGACCCCTACCCTGCCCGCTGCAAGGCACTCTCCACCCAGAGCGTTCTGTGGCTCCTGTCCCCCCTCCATGCAGATTGACCCCTACCCCGCCCATTGCCAGGTGCTCTCCACCCAGAGCGTTCCGTGGCTCCTGTCATCCCTCTGCACAGATTGACCCCTACCCTGCCCGCTGCAAGGCACTCTCCACCCAGAGCGTTCTGTGGCTCCTGTCCCCCCTCCATGCAGATTGACCCCTACCCCGCCCATTGCCAGGTGCTCTCCACCCAGAGCGTTCCGTGGCTCCTGTCACCCCTCCCTGCAGATTGACCCCTACCCCGCCCATTGCCAGGTGCTCTCCACCCAGAGCGTTCCGTGGCTCCTGTCACCCCTCCATGCAGATTGACCCCTACCCCGCCCGCTGCCAGGCACTCTCCACCCAGAGCGTTCCGTGGCTCCTGTCATCCCTCTGCACAGATTGACCCCTACCCCACCTGCTGCCAGGCACTCTCCACCCAGAGCGTTCCGTGGCTCCTGTCATCCCTCTGCACAGATTGACCCCTACCCCACCTGCTGCCAGGCACTCTCCACCCAGAGCGTTCCGTGGCTCCTGTCATCCCTCTGC